ACGGTCGAACCGAGTCTAGTATGAATAGTCGGGCAGCATTGACCGTTCTCTAAAGGAATTACTGATCGAAGCAGTTAGCTATGTGACTTTTTCAGTAGGTTCCATCGAAACCGATTTTTAAATGAAACGAAATGAAATTCTTATAGCACAAATTCTCAAACCTTGGGATGGTTCCTTTATTACCAGCTTTTCTCCGTGTTGTTTTCCGGTTGGATTATTTTTATAGTTTTTATAAGTTTCTTCACTTGCGTAGTGCAAGGTAATACGTTTCGAAATTTTTTAATTTCGCGGTTAATTAGCGCGTCAACATATGTATATTCAGATGACAGACTTCTTGTCCGCGCGTTTTTGTTTTATGCCAATTGTTTTTCCGTTTTTACGCATTCACGTTGTATATTCTCCATATGTTCAAATATAACTATTTTATTGTGTCTTAACGATTATTACTAATGTCTAAGAACCCTACAATCCTCGTGCTGAGGTGTAAAAATCCAACAGAAATAACCTGATAACATTGAAAAAGGAAGTATGATAAATTGCATTCTATTGTAACGTGTCGCTTACCATTTTCGATCTGTATCTAATCTTGAGTGGAATTTCTCCTTTGTAATTTCCTAGTGTGTTAGATGTTAGTGGTCGCATAGATTGGATGTCTCAGTCAAAAACAGGCTCATATACATATAATATGCTAAAACAAGCACGAGCTAATCAAACAGAAAACTTACATCTGATTACAGCAGAAGTACTGGTTTTCTTTTACCATCAGTTTTTCCCGGAGCGCCGTTTCAAGTAAAAATTAAAAGACTCGAAGGGTCCCATTAAAAGACGCTACATTTTTTTTATTCATTATAAACGCTGACTTTGAGGCGAGTTTATTATAAAGTAAGATCATTCATTGTAGCATAACGTCATAAATTGAAATTTGTAGTCAGTAAATTGAAGACAGGCCATCAGTCAGTCGAACAAGGATAAGTAATTGATTTCTTTTTTTATGATCCGATTTCTTCCTGAATTGTCTGTAAGTGTACCTCAACCTCAATGGACTCTTTCGAATATTCTAACTTTTTCCTGGAAATATTTTTTGTACTCTCGATAATTTAAACATTATTGTCCTATAACAGATTACTTGTTCCGCCCTGTATATCAGATCAGCAGTTATATTATTTGTAATAAATTGATATGTTCCAAAATTTGTTCGAAAGGAAAAGTATAAATTTGGACAGAATATAAAAATAATATTTAATTCCTAGAAAAAATTCCTTTACCGTGTCTTGATTGCAAAGTGATCAGTTGATTTTTTTCCCATAATAAAGATACGATAACTCATTTCAATAAAATAAGAATTTTATTGTAACGAAATAAGGCTCACATAAAGAATGTAAATAAAATAAAAATATCGATAAAATCGATAAAAAAAAAAAACAGTATCAGTCCAGGTATAGAGTCTCTTAATTTTCGAGTTATCATTTCCAAGAACTGGAAAAATATACTTTCGAAAACTTACCCAATTTTGTAAAAATTACCCAATGAACTTTAAAACGTATCTAAAAAAATTCTCAAAGTTAACAAGAATTTCACATGAACTCTTTTCTGTAAAAAAATATCCCGAGAAACATTTAACACTTGGCCTCCTAATGTAGTTTCCTCCCTCAAGTATCACTAAAAACTGCACCATACTCAAATTTGCTCAAAATTTAAGATGCTGCTCCATTTAGTATCCGATTTCCCGTAGAATGATGGATAAAAGAATACCTCGTCTACAAGATTCCAATGTCGAAAATTCGAAATCACAACTTCCATATTTCGATTTTTGGTGGTTTGAACCACCGTGCGATGATTCCAATGCAAACCTCGACCGTGCAGGCACCGTTCGATTTTCACCGAGCGTCTGCCTGCGTCAGCCACATTCAAAGGTTTACGCGCGGCGGCTTGACGTCTTCGGGCAGGTATCGCGAAAGAGTTCATCGCCTGTCGAAGAAACGATCCAACCGGGCGGAAGGCAATTTCATCGAATCGGGCATAGATCGCGACGCGTCGATCGTAGCTCCGACGTCCGTCGATTCGAAGCAATGGCCGGAAAGACCGTCGATTATTATGCAGGCGGCAGACAATTGCCAACGCTTCCCCTATTAACATATACCGAGAGTAAAAACGTGGTTGAAATACGTGACAGCCCTTGGTTTAGCTTCGACACTGCTCGAAAGAGATGACTTCAGGTTTTAATGAATATTCCTGATTGGATGGGTCATTTGGAGGGTTTATTTTGTTTAGGAAATCCTTGATCGTCCATTGATAATATTACCATATGAACATGCAATGAAATTTACAAAAAAAAATTGTTGTTTTCACGAGTGGATGAAATTCGATTCGGCGCATGATGGGAATCGTTGTCACTTGCGGTTACCCGCCACACGAGTCAATGAGTCGTTTGCACTACGTGAAGATAAGCAGCGAAAGAGGTGGTGGGAAACGGTGTCAAATGGCAGAAATTAAAGCTGCCCAGTGTACGTAGTATACTTGACACCTCTGTGATAAATGCTACGAGTTAATTATTTAAATGACTTTATTCCCCAAGGAAGGACAAGAAACAAAATGTATTTGTATATACAAAATTTATCAGCCAAAGTTGAATGACGAGGGTTTCAACGAACATGGTTGTTTTAACCCTGTGCGCTCGAGGCATTTTTCTATAGAATCAAATCCAGTCCATTTTTATAATAAATACCAGTAAAACCAAAAAACTCTACTTAGAAAAGAAACATCTACGAATCATTCGTGACTCAATGAATTATTATTACAATTTATAATTAGCTGTATTCTGATATAAGTAAAATTAAAATTGTACGTTCAGAAAATCACTTTTAAATTACATACATGTATGTATGTATGTCGCCCTAGAGGCGCCATCCGAGCGCAAAGGGTTAACTCTTTGTCCGCTTTCATCGTTCTAGTCGTATGTCTACTCTCAGACATCAAAACAACAACTGTCCTGATTATATTTTATAGTAAGTCGACAAGCGGCGGAGTTATGTATAATTTTTAATAAATCTTTACAAGCTTTGTTTGAAGTACATTAGACATTTTTGTTTCTCATAAAATAATTTTTGAAAAGAAACATTCAACCAACTTCGAAAAACATTAAAACTACACTAAAAAGTATGAAATAATTTCTAGTTAATTTATTTAAATACTCACCAGCTCTAGATATAATTGCTCAAAAGTATGAGAAAATGCATTGAAGAGTATGAAATAATTTCTAGTTAATTTATATGAATACTCACCAGCTCTAGATATAATTGTTTAAAAGTATGAGAAAATGCACTGAAAGTATGAAATAATTTCTATTGAAACTGCACTATTACTCACCAGCTCTTGATGAATTTGTTTAAATTATTAATTGCAGCATATTAAATACAATGCAACCTTTTCGTGGACGGCGCAAAATTAAGAATCGTTAATTCCAGTTTGCGTTAGTTTTTGGTGGGAGCGGCAATATTGAATGCTGTTAATGTATACATGTGTGTACTGTCTACGTGAAAATACTGTCTGAGAGGATTTGATGTATTTGTTTTAGCGAGGTGTGGGGACAATAGTGCATACAGTTAATACTTTCTACACGGAAATAGTGTCTGAGAAGGTTTGGGGCATTTTTATGCGGAGGGAGGAGATGGCAATATTGATTACTGCTAATCTATATACTTTCTTCATGGAAATACTGTCTGAGTAGGTTTGGAATAGTATTTGGTAGAGTCGGCGATATTGAATAGCGTTAATGTATATGATGTCTAACGCAGATATATGGTAATAATAGCAATAATTAAAGGCCATATTTTTTGTTCCTCCAACAGAAAGTTAAACCAAGTTTGATAATTTTGAATGCAGATAATTTTAAATTTCGTGCCGCCTCCGAAAAAGTTGGATTGTATTTAATATGCCGCATTTAATAATTTAAACAAATTCACGAGGTTTATTATTTCTATATTTATAAGGTTTAAATTTATATTAGAACATGAATTTAAGGGGATATTTTCTAGTCTACAGCGTTAATTTTTTAGTGTTTTTTGAGATTTTTCTTTATTCTGTAAGGAATTTTCCAGTCCCTCCTGAAAAAAGTATGTTCATGGTTGCTGCGATTCCAGGGGTTGTGCTTATCTGAAATAAAAAAAATTAAGAATCATCTTATTTATTAGTGTCGCTATGACCCGAAGCAGAATAATATTGAAGTATTGAAAATTCAAAAAATGACAGCGCTTTAAATTTTGAATATCGATTTTTTGTATTTTTTAGCCCGTGGTATAAAACCAAAAATAAAAATTGTAAAAATATTTACAATAGAATAATCAGAATTTGAAAACCATGGTTCATGCGATAAAAACACGTATGCTGAAGATTCACTTCAAACTTGGAGTCATTTGGTCAACTTGAACTCGAGATATCATAGCAATTATTTCAAAAAATATGGTTACGAAAAAATCGAGTTTAAAGCTTTTTTATACCAAATACGTATAAAATTACGATTAAAACCCAATGCTCGGTTACTTGCTGGGTGAAAATTAATGTCACTTTTGTACATTGTAAACATTAGCAACGAAGAAATTGTAGTAAAAACTGCAGAGAAAATTAAAATGCAGTATCCAAATGAATTGGAGATGATAACGACTTCGTTAATTTTTAGAATTGAACAAAATTCTTTGGCAGATGTATTTTTAAAGATCTACGTTACGATCAACTAAGAAATTGTAGTAAAAACTGCAGAGAAAATTAAAATGGATTGTCCAAATGAATTGAAGATGATAACGACTTCGTTAATTGTTAGAATTTAACAAAATCCTTTGTCAGATATATTTTTAAAGATCTACACTTTGAGAAAATGCAAAACAAATCGATGTTTTGAAAGTTCTGGACTAGAATACCTCCTTAGATAATCTGGTGTAACTTTTCTAAGCAGGGAACAACCATTTTGCGCAAACCAAAGAAATGTTGCGACGTTTTTGTTGCAGCGGCCGAATGCGGAGACGCGCCGAAGAAGAAAGGATTCTTCAAGGGTTTCTGGAAGAGATCGCGCCACTACTCGCTGGAAAACCAATAGCCCAGGTGCGGCAGGGTGACACGCCACCAACGACAGAGACACGCGCCGAAACAGCAGCACCCTTGTCGACAGCCACGAATCGCTACGAGCGCTCTGGCGAACACCACTTGCTGCTGCATCGTCCAGTAAAAAGCCTCGTATCAGCATCAGCGTCGTGACGGAACCGACCGGCGCTGACGTTTCAGGACGGCAGCGTTTCGCTCGCGTTTCTTCGTCCAATCTCGTCGACCTTTTTAGTCCGGCCGATCGGCTATCACGACGAGGACAACGACGGCGACGACCCCAAGTACAAGCAACAAGTACGACAGAGCCCGTGGGTAAATCAGTTTTGCCTACTTTACGTTCCTCTTTTTCCTACGTTCACTTTCCATCGTTCCCTCTCGTTTCAATTTGGTTTCGATTCGCTCGCGCGACGACCCGCGTAGTGGGCAAAATTACATTCGAATGACAGATGAGCCGAAGTACAGTGACTCTTTTAAAGTGAAATATAATTTTATCGTATTAGGGTGATATTTCATTTACAATTTGAACCGTAAATATTACAACAGTTAACCCTTTGCACTCGAGAGATGACTCTCCTCGATCACCACTAGGTTTTACACAGTAAATCAACCAACAATAATGTTTGTTTAGGTTTCATTTCTTTGGAACTCGAAGTGTCAATAAAATGATTGTCAGTGCAGTAAAGGTTCGTAAAAGGTGAAGTAAAATCTGAAATTAGTTTGCGATTACGAATCCGGCTACATCTTCCAAGTCAATCTAAGCTTAGTATTCGAGTTACTGGTAGAGATACCAGAAAAAAAGGTCTCGAGTGCAAAGGGTTAACACTAAAACTGCCGATATCGACACGTATAACTCGTCGTACATGCAATTACATCTGTGTAATTGGAGAAGAAAAAACAAACTAATTTATGGATAAAATTAATTCTCTGTTACAATAATTGCCCCTTCACAATTGTAATAAAGGCATCGTTGATAATTGAATGATTCTGGAAAGAAATTTAAAGCGCATGGATCCAATTCATCGAATCAATATTTTCAGTGTTAATCGACATTAAGTTTCGAAATAAATAGCATTCGATAATGGTAAATAGAACATAGAACTTAAATGCTTTCATCTATTTAAAACATTCGCAGAGAAAAGAACATAACAAGAAGGAAGAAAAATTGGGAAAAGTTTTCTTATTTCCCTAATACGATTCAGATCTTATCTTCATTGAACAAATAACGGATCGAAAACTGTTCATTTTGCAATTGTTATTCAAAATATGTTATCCGAATAATAATTTTGCCCATTTCTGCACCCGTTGAAAGTTGGACGTCTAGTGCAAGAGCTTTCGTAATTTTGTACGTTTTTCTTTCTCTCGGCTCGGCGACTGGGGTCCGTTTTTTTCACGGGGCGAACTGTACAATCGCGATCACCGTGTACGACTCCATCGAGACGCTGGGTTTATCGGCCCAACGGAGTTTTTTACTTTGCACAAAGCGACCGATTAAGTCGTATAATAATCTCATCGAGATGCGAAGGTTTATACCAGTCGATTGGAGCGAAAAAAGGTTTCGAAAAAAGGAAAAGAAAAAGAGAAAAGGCAATATAATCGGCTTTCTCATTGACTCAGTGGCGCACCCAGACGATTAACAAGGTGAGTGCTACGAAAATTAATACGTCGCCATTCTTTTCGACAGTTCCCGACAGTTTCTTTTTAGCGAAAATAGAGAAAAAGTTTCAGTTAACGTTTTTGTGTAAAATGTAACTCGCTATAAGATTTATTTAAAACATTCTTTAAAATGTTTGACAACGACGTGCGTATATCGAAAGAAACGAAGAAGTACAAGAGTTAATTAGCATTATCTTCTCGCGTGTGAACAGTACATGTGCATGGTTGTAGAGATTTGATAGCTTAAAACTTTCCTTATCGGAACGTTATTCGTTGACATTAAGTTGCTTTTACACATGCACGTACATAAATTTCGATACTAAAAGGATGTATACTTGTGAAAAAAACTGGGGTAGAATTGTTCTCTTGGGCCACCCCGTTGGGTGCGCCACTGTATCGCGTCGAGGCGATCGGCGGTCGTGGCATCGAAGGCTCTAGGTGTTTCCTTTTATCTTCCCTTTTGTATTTAACGCGCGACGGAATACGTTTTCTAGAGAGTGAATAATAAAGTATAAAATATCCTGTATTAAAAGTATCGGAGTATTTCATATATAATTGCGTTAGGCGGCGTGTGGCACCGAGCAAACAGTGAGAAGAGCGTAAGGAAACATTGTAGATGTACGCGAAAGCAATTCGCGACGAACGAACAGTGATATCGTACGCATTATTATCGATAGAATTGTAATTTCCCCCGGGAACGTTAACGCGTTACTGTATTCATATTATTTTTCATTACACCAGCGCTGTTATTGTTGTTGTTACTACTATTATTACTATTATTATCACCGATAAGAATATTTCTATTTGTCTTCTTTTTAATATTATTATTACTATTATTATTATTATTAACGTCGTAACTAAATGCACAGCATCAGTGCCGCTATTACCGAGAATATTATTTTTCTTACAATCTCTCTATATACTGCTATTATCACTATATCTGTACTGTCGTCATTGTCATTACTATTATTTATTATTATTTATCATCATCATCTTCATCTTCATCGTCAGCAGTATCGTTCTTGTTGTTATTATCATCATTATCGAACCTTGGTACTACTACCAAAAAAAAAAAAAAAATGCAAAGGTATATAAATATATATACATACGCAGAAATGTAGTTACACGCCAAGAATGCGCGCACGATAACGAATTATCATTACGAAAGCGATAACAATTATTATTACGAATTAACGAATGAATTAATTACTATTATTGGTAATCGGTATTATTATTAATAATAATATATAGACAACTGAGATCATATAGCTAATAATATAACGAATGGGGTGGCGATAATAACGGTAAATTACAAAGTTATATTTAGAATAATTTTTGGATTCGATCGTAGAGCACGTTCTCCTCGGATATTTGACAAAGTCGATCGTACGGAGAGTCGCTTGAATGCCAAAGACTGTCTCGCGGCGTGTCGAGCTCGACCTGTACAGAAAATATATTTATCGTTTACTTGCTGTTCGTTAGATAGATTGACCGATCTATAGATGCGATATCCTAAGGTCCTAAGGGCCAGCACGTACTCGCCTACGTTTAGAGAGAACGTTTCTCGTTCTTGCTCTCCTCTCGCGAATCGATCAACAGCGCAAGCTCATTCGTGATTTTTCCTCGTTTGAAGAGTCTCGTCCGATTCTTTCCATCTATAGGAGAACCTCGATTATTTGCACGTGGACGAAATGATCAATAAACAAGAAATATGGTTAGGAGTAGTATCCTGAGAATATCCTGCGTTGTACTACTACTCGTTGAATCTGGTCACCTTGATTACAGAGCAAAGGTAGTTGTACACTCGAGAGGGCTTGACTGCACGTAAGCGGGCAAGATTAACCCTTTGCACTCGAAAGGTGACTCTCGGTCGCAAAAATTAGGTTCGACGCAGTAAATCAACCAGCGATAATGTTTGTTTAAGTTAAATTTTATTGGAACTCGAAGTGTCGATGAAATGATTGTCGTTGAGGCAAAGATGACCTGATTCTCAAATCTTAAATTAGAGATCTCATTTTCGAAGTCAATCTAAGCTTAGAATTCGTGGCACAATAGAATGCTAAGAAAGCATCTCGAGTTGCTGGTAGATGCCAGAAAAAAAAAAGAGTGCAAAGGGTTAACTGTATACAAGTTAGGAAACATTGGTTGCGCACGAGAGCCAAAAAGTCGATTACATACGAAAGGAATAAACTTGATTGCAAACAAGCTAGAAAAAAAGTGGTCGTTCGGAGACGGGGAAAAATTGCGTTTACGGAAGCGGGTACGCAACATTGGTTGCAGACGAGCGAGGAATACTGTAGCTTGCGCGTTTAAAAGTGGAACAAATCGAGGATGATTGGTGAAGAGATAGCTCCATGGCGAAGGAAGGAAAGAAGAGAGTGAAACGAGAAACGTCGGTCAGCCGCAATAATATGTTCGTGTAAACGGCGCGACATTGCTTTTTCCATGCGGTTTTCTTAGGGTGTAGCGCGCGTTATGGTCTTGCTACAGAGCGTGTACAGTAAGTCCTGTAAATAACGATTGCGTGGTGATACGTAAAAGAACGTAAAAGGATACGAGAGGAGCTGGTCCGCGATCGTCGAAGATGGTTACAGGGGGACGCGGACAGCGTGAATGGGCATTCGAGGAGCATCGGGCGGTCACGCCGCGCTACGGAGCCACAAACAATTGGCCGCTTTGTCGTACATCCGTTGGTACGCGACGACACCTACCTGATAAGACTCTAATTTTAAAGGTAGTCTAATAAAAGTTTTATTGCTACTGAAATTTAATGCCAATTAAACGAACTGTTCGTAAAGCAACATTCGCCGAAGTTGGTGTCTCATTTTAAAGGGGTTGGCCCACTTTGACGCCTTGAAAAATCGTCCTCTCGTTTCACGAGAGAGAAACGATTCACTCGTTCGCAATTAGGGATTGAACAAGTTTCAGGAGAGATTACCATTTACATGGAGCCTCGATTTGACCGTGTTTTTATTTAATATAATTTATCATTGGCAACATATATCAAGGTCAAGATCATCGGAGCTGCCTCCCCTAAACGTAGAGTTTACCTAATTTATTAAAAAACCAATTTCGCAAACTGCAGTTCCCTACCATGTTTCCATTAGAAAGTATATTTATTTCAAGTTTGATAATACCACATTTATTTGACAGAAGGACCATGACCTTTCTTTGGGGGCTTTTGGTCTTTGACTGTCAAGTTTCTTTACATTTTATAATACATCATTATAACCAGGGACTTTATACCAGTATGATTTTAATACTGGTATTATATTAGAAATCAATATATACCGAAATGGATATATTATGAAATACCGATATAAATACCTGTATTTTTCGACATTTCTATTGGGTCATTCCACGCGAAATTGGACACTTTTTGTGTTGAAAAAAGTTGAAAATTCTCGGTACCTACAACTATTTAAAGTTCTGTGCTATCTTTTTCCCAAAAATTATAACTATTGAGTTAGTCTACGAATGAAAATAAGCTTTCGCGAACTTACTGTGAAAAGATAAGAGTACAAAATAAACATTATATTAGTTAAAAAATTATTTACCAATTTCTAAAGAACTTGTTAGAAAGAAATTCCTTGTTTATATATCACGCTCACTTTAAAAATTTTGAAAATCGAAAAGGTAAGATATCTTTGTTTATCCGTTTTCTGGAGAACCTTGTAAAAAGATGGAGAGATTTAAATTTGTTGAATGAAAATTAAGTGAGCCCTAATCGCAACGCGCGACTGTAAAAATGATGGTTCACTTAAATTAGTCACGTTAACATTAAAACTATTAACATGGGAAAAACTATCGGAATTATGTAATAGTTATATATTTTTATTACCATTCAATAGTTTTATTTAGTTTATTTTTAAAAAATTTTAATATTTAGCTAACAGGATTGGTAAAAAAAAATAATAGGACATTGATATCATTTCTGCTGCCTTTATCAGTATATGTCGTATCGTCGTTGTTATTATTACAATTTGATAAACAATCTGTGTACTTGTACTTCTTGAGTTCTTAAAAATCGTAATCAAATAGAAAAACCGAAGTAAGTACTAGTAATTATGTTATACCGGTATTTTCCTATTTCAATTTTGATAAGGGTTAACGAAAAATACCGTTATAATACTGATACTTCATGTAACAGTATAAGTCCCTGTATATAACATAATCTTTTACTGTTTGAAACATAATTATATATCATCTCATCACACTGACCTGATTGGGGGAGATATTTATTATAATTTAT